TATAAGGAGTATATGTCTTGGTAATCTAGAATGAATATATTTGAACCTACTGTCTTCTGATTGTGCAGCAAAAATACAATGAGATGAAAGCCCAGGCTGAATCGCAAGGGAAGTCGTACGAAGAGGATGATTCTGAGCTGTTTTGCGCGATGGTCCCGCTGTACAAAGGCAGGCGTTTTGGGACGGGATCTAAAGCTGAAGTGATGTCTGACCTTGAATGTACCAGCAGGATATCGGGGCCGACTCAGATGGAAATTGATTCCCGCATCAAGGACCAGCTGGAAGCCCGTTTTGCGCAGCAGGAAAAGCAGTGGCAAACTCAGATTGCGAACATGACTTCTGCGTTTACGGCGTACATGGAGCAAGTGCGTAGCTCGAACCCTTCTGTCCCGCTACCCGATTTCTCGTCTTTTCGTATCCCGACCTCCGCCCAAATGAATCTGCTACATGATTCGAATGAACTTCGACTGTCTGATCTACTTGTGTAATGAACAAACTCTTTAAATTTCTGTACTGGTTCTGGACATATTCTGGCAATTTATTTGCCATTTCTACTTCTATTTTGGCAGTGGTTTATCTGCCTGGACTGCTATAACATAATAATGTTATGTTAATTTGTGCTCTTTCATTTGCTCTATAATTTGCAGGCGTGGTTCTATAATTTGCATGTGTAGTACATACTCTATAATGTTTATGTTTTTAGACTTCAGTAGTATATGATTCCAGTTAAATGTTTTGTTTATAATGATTTGTAAAAAAATTGTACACCGTACATATGTACGGTGTACAATTTTTTTTAATTAATTTTGGCACGGATTACGTCCGTACCAAAATCCCGAATGAATTTTGGTAAAATATTTGGCACGAATTTATCCGAGCCAACAAACGGGTAAAGATTTGGCCTACCCGGTTTATTCCGGGCCAATATCCTTGCCAAGTTAAATCCGAGCAAAACTTTTGGAGTAGTAATCAGTGTTGTTGTCTCTCAAATTTCGTGCCCAATGCCAAACCAAGAGTTGGTGCGGATGATGTTTTCCGTGCCAAAGCATTTGGCACGAGTCAAGTGCGTCGGATTTCAAATCCATGCCTAATCCGAGCCAAAAGTGATAGTCTGGGATTTTTGTGAAGCGATCTGTGCCAAAATCCGACCCAATGAACGGGGTATGTATTGATGATATAAATAATACGTACGTAGTAGTATAATATACTTACGTACGGTTCTTAACTTCTTATTATTCGAGACGCACTCAATATTATAGATTGACTTAGACCTAGGATGTTTTTACTTGGACTGTAATTTGCCGGTCTGGTCTAGTCTGGTCTGGTCTGAACTGGTCTGGTCTGGTCTGATCTGAACTGGTCTGGTCTGGTCTGATCTGAACTGGTCTGGTCTGGTCTGGTTTTTTTGTATTTTTATAACTATCTAAGTCTGGTCTGGTCTGGTCTGAACTGGTCTGGTCTGGTCTGGTCTGGGACGAATTACAGTCCAAGTAAAAACATCCCTACTCCCTCTCAATAGTGATCTCTAACAAAAAAAATTATTCAAACGACATGGATATAAAATCATTTATTTATTCCTAATATGATATTGTGTATTTAGTCATATTTATAATTTTAAAATAATATTTGAATAAGACTTTTGGCAAAGTCGTGTGTCTCGGGTTCGGTAAATTGGGCCTTTATTTGTGTATTTCGGTATTTGAACAACCTAAGTACGGAGTATTAATTTTGGCCATCAAAATTGTAATTGACTTTTACAATATTTTAGAATTAAAAGTAATTGTTGGGTAGGGGAGTCGGTACGGTATTATACCGATATACCGCGGTATATGAAAACATTTACCGTTACCGTACCGAAATAAATCGGTACGGTATGATACCGTACCGAAAATGACGGTATACCAATCTTTCGATATGTTACAGTATTTTTCGGTACGGTAAGTGCGGTATACCGATTTTCCGGTATTTTTGTCCACCCCTAATTAAAAGATACGTAGTATGAAAATTGCAACTATACGACTACTACTTTTCCCTGGAATATGGTAGAACCGAATATAGAATGAAATGCCAAAATTGCCCATCATTCCTATTTCTTATGTCGACAACCTGCGAATCTGTTATGAGTGTGAATCGGCTATGAGCGTAGACGATGGAATTGAAGGGTGCTCAGGTAAATTTCCTTCTCCTCCTCATTCTTCTTCGTTGTCTTCTTCTTCTCATGTTCCTCTGCTTTCTTCATCCACCTTCCATCTGATTTCTTCTCTTTTGAATTTTCATTTTACTAATTCTAATTATCTGAACCACCTGAACCTCCAATGAGAATGTCAAGAATGATGATGGAAGTTTCGTATAAAAACATGACATTCTCGGTTGTAAAAAATATGGTTTTTTAGATGAAAAATAATGACAATGTAAGGATGAAATTCAGACATTGTATGGAAAACATGTCAAAAAAACATGTAATTTCTGATTATGTCATTCTCAAATAAACCATAAAAATGCCATAAAATGCCATACAAATGGCATTTTGTTATGGACATGACATTTTTATATTGTCATCCTGATAAATACACTCCCACATAAGTGACAATTTTTTCAAATAACCAATAATTTTGACATTCTCAGATTATAAAAGTGGCATTTTGCTGAATAAACATAATTCAAATCCAAAAATGACATTTTGTCTATGAACCAGTAGTTATGTGGGGCATTTTTAAAAAAAATAGAGCAAAAAGGAGGAGGAGGAATAAGAGGAGAAGGGGAATGCGAAGAAGAAAATGCATTTGGAGGAGATTAGCAGGGGAGAACAGCAACCTTGAAACAAATTGGAGCCAAGGAGAAAAATGAGGAGATGAACCGCAGAAGAAGATGTTTAAGCGAAGAGGAAGATGAGTGTTACGAACACGAGAAAGGTGATGAGTAAGATAAGGGTACTATGGACATTGCGTAAACATAAAAAATACGAAAGAGGAGCAGATGAGTCCTAAAAAGAGAATAAAACTTGATAAGTCCTACTTTGGCATTTTAACCATGTTTTAGTCCTATTCAGGATAATTTTTTCTTATTTTATTAGAACAAGAATAAATGATCCATGCAAATTAAATTACTACATTCGTCCCCCTGTTATTGTCCCATTGCGGTTTACGATGCTTGACTGACGATAAAACAAACAGATTCCTGTCCGCACTAGACTTATTTTTAGGAAAAAAAAATTGCATATTAAGAAACTACATTAAAAGGTTTACAAATTAAAGTCGCAAAAACCAGAATCAAATTTGATAAAAATTTGATAAATAAAGTAAGAGATTAAGAGTGATTTGTGTTAACCAAGTGAATAGGAAATGAGACAATAATAGGAACGGAGGAGGGAGTAGTACGTAATTCGTGAATGATCCATGCAAACTAATAAAGAAATATACGGAGTACGTAATTGTTTATTTTCACCATGCATTGTACGTACTAATAATATAATAGCCTTTTCATAATATATACATACGGAGTAGTAAATACTATCCCTTTATAGTTTATACTACGTGTAACCAGGGACAAATCCAGGATTTTGAGTCAAGGGGGGCGAATTTTTTCTCGTTAGTATAGGGGATGAAAAAATCATGGCAATTTTTTCCGCTTGTGTAGTGGGGCGAATTTTTTCGCTAGCATAGGGCTCTGCGGCTAATTTTCATTCAAAAAAATCCATCGATACATACACGATGATATTTAAATCCATCGGTAGAAGAATATTACTACTTCCGTCCCCCCTAAGTTTGGGACAAAAGGGTGTGGTGTGGTTTTTAAGAAAAAGTAGAATTGTGTGGTTGATATTGAGATGATAAAGTATGAATAAAGTAAGAATGAATTTTAACCACTCAAATATTACCAAATATGGTATGACAGTATGAGGCAAATTTAATGGGACAGACGAAAAAAGTAAAACGAGACAAAGTTAGGAAGACGGAGGGAGTACATTCTAAGTTTAAACAATGAAAAATAATTTTAATTTTATAATTGTAAATGGTCTAAACAATGTATTGATACATTAAAACATAAGAAATGACAAATCAAATGAACATTATTTGAAGGTAAAGAGTTTAAGAAGTACACATCAACCAAGTCTTTTTAAATAACTTCTGCTTTGTTTATTCATATGATCTTATTAGAATAAAGAATTTATTTTTGAATTGCAATTTTTGTATACTAAGTATGGTGTTCGTGGGTCACGAAAAGTTTTCTTAATATTACAATAGTATGTGCGATATTATTATTTTTAGAGTAATACAATGCTATTGTATTGTTATTCACATAGTATTGTTATTCACATATATGGTGCATATTGTATTTGTATTAATGCTAAAATAAGTTCAAGTTTATTATCTATGCAACAAATTGTTTTTAGAAAGTAATAAGTAAATGAATTGTGTAATTTAATGTCAATAAACATTTATATTTTAGATTCACTTCACATGATCTAAAAAATTTTAACTTGTGTGTATGGTATTTAATATTGTTCGATATTTTACAAAATCGATTACTAATTATCTAATAAAGACAATTAAATGTTACAAAGCTAGAAATTTTTATATAATAGGTATCATGTGTCTTAAACAATGAGTCGGCTATTTTTATCCATTTAAGTTATGTAAATTATTTTAGATGTTACTGTTTTTAAATCTCCAATTATGTATTACATTATGTAATGCTATATATTAATTTTTAAAACTAAAAGTTAAGGGGGGCGAAAACATATATATCTAATTAAAGTATGAAAATATTAGATATATAGTAGAAAAATTTGAAAATCCAAGGGGGGCAGTCGCCCCCCGCGCCCCCCCTAAATCCATCCCTGCGTATAACCCCTGACTTAGTAAATGCATTCCTAAATCAACTTCTTAACCGCCCCCGCACCACCCATTACCTCCGATCCCTTTGGTGTCTCACACATCTATCTCTGAACTATACATATATATATATATAGACCGAACGAACGGTTCCATGCATGCATATATATACATACATCACATGCAAAATACATGAACATGACATTGCATGCCGCAATGGAGAAAATATTACTACTTTTCCTTCTTCTTCCTCTTTTGTTGTACCCGACCAATGTTGTCTCAGACGACAACGTTCCGATCCCTCCGACTAAGGATCAAGTGAACACTTGGTTCACCGCCAACGTCAAGCCCCTCGCATCCAGAAAGGACCTCGATCCTGGCCTTGCCAAGGCCGAGGCCAACGTCTCTCACATTAAGGTCAGTAGCGACGGAAAAGGGGATTTCAAGACCATTTCTGATGCCATCAATAGCATTCCCGCCGGAAACACACAAAGAGTTGTCATTTCATTGGCAGGCGGGACCTACAAGGAGAGAGTGAAGATCGAAAGAGACAAGCCATTTATCACCTTGTACGGTGACCCGACGGATCGGCCCACTATAGTCTCTGGTAGCACGGCGGCTAAAGATGGCACCGTGTACAGTGCCACCTTGTCTGTTTCATCAGATTACTTCAGTGTGGTTAATATTGACATTGTGGTGCGTAACTTATAGTAACCTTATTTTTTAGGTGACAACTCCGATACCTTTCTAAAAAATGGGGTATCGTACATATCATTCATTTCATTGGAACACATCACTTTATCATTTTTAATTTAGATTTAAATAATTCAACTATTACCTTCTCATTGGTCCATGTGGACAAAGGTAAGGTACCTTATGGGTACCATAAAATCTACATATTTTTTATTAGAAATTTGAGTGTTATTTTCTATTAGAAATTTAATTTATTCGCTAGGAGTGTAGTAGGGTAGCTAAAGTATAGACCAACTTAATTTTTAGGGAAAAATGCTATGTATGAGTAAAACTCATCACAATTCCCAAACTATGACTTGGTATGTTTTTTTACCACCATATGACTCTAGATGGTTTTTAAAACATGGCATCCGTATATGTGAAGAAAATTCAAAGACCAAAATGACCTTAAAAAAATAGACATAGAGGGCCTACAACTTCCCCTAAGGCCTCATTTGGTTGGAGAGTTTCGGAGGGGAAGGGAGGAATTAAAGTGGAGGATTTGTGTATGTTTGGTTGAAGGAAACAAGGGGATGGGGAGGAAAGTGGAAGACTTTCAAAATCCTCCACTTCCTCTCATTATAAACCCCCCAAATCGGAGTATTTCGGAGGAAACGTGTCGATAACCACAAATTATCTATCTCCTATGTGAATGAACAAAACGTTATAATATAAAAAGGTAAAAAACAAAAAGTTTTGAAAAATTAAAAAATTAAAAAATTTCAAAATTTAAAGATGAAAAATTTTAAAAATTATAAAAATAAAAATTTTAAAAATTAAAAAATTTAAAAATTATAAATTAAAAATTTTAAACTTTAAAAAAAAAAAAAAATTAAAATAAAAATAAAATATTAAAAATTCCAAACTGAAAAATGAAAAATTATAAAATTAAAAAAGTAAAAAATCAAATAAAACAAAATTATGACTCATGACCATAGGAGTAATATTCACAATAGTTAGACATGTATCTATTTTTTTAAGTAAGCTTTAAATTATAAAGTAAATTGTAAAAATATTTTCATTAAACCTTTCCTCCCATTACCTCCAACCAAACACAAATTTTTATCAAAATTCTTCTTTCCCCTTTCCTTCCCTTCCCTCCTTGACTCTCCCCTTACATCCCCTCCTTTGAACCAAACAAGGCCTATGTTTCCAAATCTGGAATGAAAATAAATAATAAACGACAGTTAGGATAACTATAGTATCGTATTAGGGGTAAAAACCTCCAAGTCATATTACGAGAAAAGTTAAAATTTTTACTCACATGTGAGGTAAACTTCTCTGATATTATAAGAAATTTTAGTGTGTTTTTTCCTATATACTCAACCCACTTTAATCATAGTAAACTTATTATTTAGCGCAATTCAACCCAAAATTTAGGCCGTCCATCAATATTAATGTGAAACAATGGGAAAAGTTGCCGTAATGAGGGCATTCACAGATATATTTATAATAAAGATGAGTTTCCAAAATACAAAAGATTCCTATTTCCTAGTATATATAGTTAGACTATAAATTAACGGTAGTTAGCTACATGCTGTGCGTTAGCTAGTGAGGTAAAAGAATGCACAATTTCTTTAATTAGATGTAAAGGAATACACGATTTGTGAAGGATAACTAACTAAGCTAATTTACCTCAAAGTCATGCTGTGCGTTAGCTACATACGTACAAGGCATTACATCTTCCCAGCTTAGATAAAAGGATGACCCAAGTCCCAAACTAACCTCAACTCGTTTAGGAATACAACCTTTAGGGTTAAATTTGGCTAAAGATTTACTTTCATACTAATCACGGGCTAAACTGAAAAAGTATATACTCCCTCCGTCCCTTACAACTTTGTCAAGTTTAACCGGTACGGAGATTAATAAAGTACAAACTGTGTGGCGGAGGTTTGTGCAGAGGAAAGAGAATTGACTTGAACCACAGATTATTTACATAAAATAGAAAGTGACAATTTTAATGGGACATCCAAAACAAAAAGAAAGTTGACAAAGTTTTAAGGGATGAAATTAAAGGAGTATTATTTTTTTAAACACAGATTAAACTGGGTTTAATTTCGACCCACTAGAGCCAATGTAGAACTTAGTCATATGTGACTATATTTCAACTTTTTACATAGAAGTTAATTTTGTTTTTCCTTATGTGTATATATAGATAGTGGGAGACTGGGAGACGCATGATTTAATTTCCCATTAGATGAACATACAAATAATGCCGAGTACATAAAAATTTGGAAGTAGCTATCCGACTCCCTTTGTGTTTAAACACTAATACTAGTACATTATTACATTATATATTTATATACATGGTGCTCACTCTTCCCTATCTTTGTTTCATTTTATTCTTTTCGCCCTTCCCGTGCATGTTTGGTAGGCATAAGCTTCCACCTAACTTCTATTTTTTGTATTATTTAAAAAGTCTCTAAAAACTTTTAGTTGTATGTTTTTCATCCCAATTTTTAAGAATTTTTCTCAAAATAAAAGATCTTTTTTGAGAAGTTATAGCAGGTAGCATCCGGGAGAAAGTCAGTAATTTTTAGCATTAATTAGTCACAACAGATTCTTATATCAAACTAAACTAAATCAAACAGTCTGTTTTTTATCAAACAACTACAACGTTTCCGCCTTTAAAATCTTTTCAATCATTAAACGCCAATGATTACTAAAAAGTATATTTTCAACTAGTTGTGTACGTCAAATATACCTTAAGTTTATCTCATTCTCCATACCATATTCGATTCTATTTGGATGATTGTAATTCATTCCCGTTTCAATCACACTTCATCAATTCAATATCAAACATACACTTTCATTTTTCTAAATAATAACATCACTCTCTTTTGTCTCCCTTTTATCTTGATCTTAGAGAGAAAGAGGAAGTAGTAGGTTATTTAATTGCCCATTTCTATTTCTGGTTAAAAATGAATGTATTGAATTTTCTCATGAGTATTGGTTATTAGTTTTAGTACATGTAATAATCTATGTATATTGGGCTCTTAGAATTCGGCTCCGAGGCCAGATGGCCAAAAACCGGGGCAACAAGCAGTGGCCGTAACCCAGAGTGGCGACAAGGCCTCCTATTACAACTGTAAGATGAAAGGATTTCAGGACACATTATGTGACGATGCAGGAAAACACCTCTTCAATGATTGCTATATTGAAGGAACGGTGGATTTCATATTTGGCAATGGCAAGTCTCTATATGTGGTATGAAACTTAATTTTACCAATCTCTTCTTTTAGGTTTGTTCATCCAATTGAAGTTATTGAACAAATGATAGAACAGTGTGAACAGATGACTGTCATAGTAATATTAATGCCAGAATTGATGAGAAGTAATATTTATTTCTATTTCGCGGAAATTGAAGATCTCTTGCGTGATTTCAGTTCTGTTTCACACGATTTAACTTTGCATGTGAATATAACAACAACAACCATATCTTAGTCTCAAAAGTACTTGGGTCGGATAATATGAATCACCATGTGAAATCGAAACTAAAAAATGATAAAAAGAAAAGATCATATATAAATATAAATGAATAAGATAAAGATAAGATTAAAAAGAAATTAATTCATTTATTAATCCGATAAGGCTTTTATAATTACAAGGTACGACGTGCCCTCTAAACATTGTTGTGGTGGGACACCGCTCTGAACCCTGGTCTTGCGGCAATATAATCTAATGTGTACCGGGCTAGCCCTTTACTATTTTTAAAAACACAAATTATGTTTGTACACACTTTTATACACACTTTTATGGTCATTGTCTGTGAGAATGTTTTTTTTTGTTTGTGAATCTCGTTCACAAACAAACAAGTCTTGTTGGTCAGTGAGCGAGGATCACAGACAAAAAAAAATTCACATAGACGGTGGATATGAGAGTGTGTATAAAAGTGTATACATCTAACAAAGTTGTTTTAAAAAAAAGTGCAACCCGTTCGACTTGACACTACTTACATGTTCTCTTTTGTCTACGTTTTATGCCGGCGGGGTGTAGAACACAGAGTTGCATGTGATAGAAGGCGATAATATGGCTGTGATAATAGCACACGCTAGGCACACGAATGCTGAGGACACTGCATACTCTTTTGTGCATTGCAAAGTTACAGGGAAAGGGACTGGGGCGTTGCTTGGGAGAGGATGGAAGCCTTTCTCAAGGGTCATTATGTCATACACTGAAATCAGCAATTGCATAAAACCAGAGGGGTGGGATGGCATGCGTGGAAATCCTACAGATGGAGGGTAAGTCAATTATTGTTTATGGGCCACATTTGTCATTTTAGTCCCCTCACCTTTGTTAACTAGGTTTTTCCTAGTGAAAGATACAAATAAAAATATGACTGAAAATGTTATGTGCACTGCAGTGTAAAAAAAACATACCGGAAATGTCATTGTCAAGTGCTGACATAGAATTTTTCGGCAGATAAAGCATTTTCTGATGGAAAAGTCATTAATGTGGATTAGCTAAGTGACTAGGTTTGTAAGTGAGTAAAGTTATAGGTCTAGTGTTGAAGTCCCACACACCGGTAAAATATAAAGTACTCTAATAAATTGTTATATTAAAACTGTGGACTATTCAATTCCTCATATCCTATAAACATTTAGGAAGGAACCCTAGATCTTAATATGAGTCAAAATGATGGGTATGGTCCCCTATAAAAAATGACGATGCGATTATAAAAAATATCAATGACGAACCGATAAAAAATCAATGATGACACGATTCAGACGAAGCGGCTGATCGTGAGGAGAGGGTGTTGCCGTGTCTCACACCAACAGTAAAGTATAAAGTAATAAAGTCCTACGGATTACGGAGTATATATATTAAGATTCTATATTCCTCCCAAGTCCTATTAGGTTGACCTTTTAATTAGATGGAAATCGGAGTCTTAACTTCTAGTAACAGGGAAATAAATAAGTTACGTGATTAAATCTGATTTACGATTCATCATTTATATTCCTACATTTCTAACCATTTCTGATCACAAATATTATATTCCAAATATAGATCGATTTGATATTTGTTATCTATTTGTGTTTTAATGATTGTAGGACAACTTTCTTTGGAGAATATAAGAACACTGGACCAGGATCTAATATGAACACGAGGCCCAAGTTTGTTAAGAGGTTGACTGATACAGAAGTTAAACCTTACATCACACTTGGTTTCATAGAAGCATCTAAGTGGCTTCTTCCCCCAACCGGTGGAGGACCTGCGGGGGTAAGGGCTCCCGCTTCCGGCCATGAGCTTTAGGATTAATACTTAGCATAAAAATGATGTCTTCCTATTCGAATAAAAAATACTCTATAACTACTAGATGAGCTGATAATCCAGTCAAAGAGCACATAGAAATTGTTATAAGACACTTAAACGATTATAGAACGATTGCTTACGATTAGACATGTTGACACAATCATTATTTTGAAAGTGGCATTGGTGGTATTTTTGTGAAGTATGAATTATCTTTGTTAATGAATTGAAGTCTCTTATTTTGTCCATGATTACTAAAATGGTGGAATCATTTGAGAGTTTAAATTTTACACCCATTGTTCGCATTCCTTGTATGTGATCTTCTACGATGTAAATTTATATATGACAATATATTTTATGAGAGTACTGATTTAAAATCAATTGTCATTGCGAGTAGCTTGGTAGGGATAGAGACTTATCAATTTATTTTTATTAGTCACTTGATTAAGAAAGTATTGTGATTAATGAATATAATATATTGTGACATTTCTTGCAACAAAAAGTCAAGCTATCCTCGAGGTTGTGAGCTTGTTTAAGAACACCATAGGTAATTTTCAAGATTTGAGAGAAAAATGGATGAGAAGAACAGAATTAAACATTCTTAACATGAAAGCTGCTAATTATTGTTCTAAATGCGTTCATTATCGATAACAAATAACTATCACTTTCGAGCTATTGTATTTTGTGAGGTACACCACCACCACCACCATTATCATTATTATACTTCATTTTTTTATACAACGATCATGTGGCACGACTTGTAACGTTAGACACGATCCTAATTGTAAATGTGAAATTTTGAGTGTTTATAATATGAAAATTATAAATGGTGCAAGGATGATTCAATTGTAATCCATGTTATGTCTTTATTTGGAAAGTGGCATTGGTGATATTTTTGCGAAGTATGAATTATCTTTGTTAATGAATTGATGAATCTTTTTTTGTTCATGACTAGTATAGTATCCGTGCATACGCATGGGAAAAAGCAGTTGGTGCATATATTTGTACTCACGGTCTAATAAAATATTAGAATAAAAATAGCCTTTTAGGATTCTACATTTTCTAAAAATAGTACTCCGTAGTACAATAAGCTAATACAATAAAGTATAAGCCCGTACAATATATATTCAATGAAAAACGTGTTAATATCAGTTGAATAAGAACATGTTACTCATTAGTAAATTAGTGCTAATATATGAAAAAAGAAAATTATCTTGCTCAATTCTTTGCCCGCTTATTTTATACCTAAAAGAACTACATATGAGAGAATTCTATCACTCAATTGTTGGTCACATTGTCTTATCTTCTTATATCTAAAAACACTACGTATGAGGGAGAAAATTTTACTCCTTAACTGTTAGCCGACTTATCTTATACCTAAAAGAACTACTTATATGATAATTCCCATGCTCAATTGTTAGCAAGTTTATCTTCTAATACCTAAAAGCACTACACGTGAGAGCGAAAATTCCTCTGCTCAATTATTAGCAAGCTTATCTTGTTATATCTAAAAATATTACATATGAGAGCTAAGATTCGTTTGTTCAATTGTTAGTCGGCATATGTTATATCTACAAGCAATATATATATTGAAGAGAGAATTTCCTCGCTCAAGTGTTAGCCGGATTATCTTTGTTGGGTTAATGGCCCAACAAGGATCGACCCATCGACCCATAAAGTGCCCACCAGATGACCGTCCCCTAATCCCAAGCCTCCTGGTGAGACCCCCTACGAACATCCCAAGGAAGAGAAGAGTGTCCTCCCCACAGGGGATGTCCGGTCCCAAGGTATCAAACCCAGAAAGGCAGGTAGCTGCCATGGACGTACGTCAGGAGATATAGAGTGGCTCATCAACTTGGGAGGCGCCAGGGGTATTAGCTACAAAGGTACGTCGGATTCAATTCTACTTCCTTATGTCCCACGCATGCTCGGAACATCAGAAGTGGGGGACTTGTGTTGGGTTAATGGACCAACGAGGGTCAACCCATAAAACCCTCAAGGGCCGCCCTACGGACGTACCCAAAAAGCACTAGACAACGAGTTACCTTACCATGGATTCTGGAGAGGTTCGTCCCCAACAGGGCCAGGGGACGTACGTATCCTAGCGTTGGCAGGTCCCATGGCCAGGAGCAGCACAAGACACTCGTCTGGAAGGATTTGGATCCCAGCGGGAAGAGGAGGCAAGCTCATGGGACGAACGTCCCCTCCCCTTGACTGGATGTCAAGATCCCAGCAGGAGGAGGAGGCAAGCTCATGGGACTAACGTCCCATCCCCTTGACGGCATGCCAAGATCCCAGCAGTACGAGGAGGCAAGCTCATGATGACGAACGTCCCCTCCATTGGCCAGGAGCAGCACAAGACGCTCGTCTGGTAGGATTTGGATCCCAACAGGAAGAGGAGGCAAGCTCATGGGATGAACGTCCCCTCCCCTTGGCTGGATGCCAAGATACCAGCAGGAGGAGGAAGCAAGCTCATGGGACAAACGTCCCCTCCCCTTGGTTGGATGCCAAGATCCCAACAGGACAAGGAGGCAAGCTCATGAGGACGAACGACCCCTCCCTTGGCGGGAAGCCAAGATCCTGATGGGAAGCGCAATTAATGCAGAAGATTTGGTGGTTGGGGTCAAGCGATCCACAGCCCGCCACGTCAAAGCATCCAACTACCCATTGGCAGTATAAATAGAAACATTTATTTCATTGTAAAGGGTTGGCAACTAAGCACTCTAATAGTATAGCATTGTAACAGCTCGTAGCATAGGCTAGGGACGAACGGCCTCATGCCTTGTATGCTAGGGACGAACGACCTCGAGCCTTTGTACTGAAATTAATATACTAAGACTTCTTACTGGGCCTTCCTTGCTTATTTTTCTCATCTATCATCTGATTCTTCCATTCAAAACCCTTGGGCCGCGTGTTGGGCCTACGGGTTGACGGAATAAACCTCAATACTGGTGTCGTATGTTGGAAACTGATAAAAAAGTCTTCCAAAAACAGTTAAGACAAGGTAGATGACAAGAAACGAGGGGAGGAACTCCCAGGAACCGTACGTACGGTTGGCCCACAGCAGGGGGGCCGCAACCGGACGACAGGGGCCCGCTCCAGCAGTTTGTGGTCTCGCAAGGACTTGGGGGTGCTCACCGATATAATCCTCGATGAGGTCCAACGGGATCCGAACGTCCTGTGGGAAATGACAGACATCATTCAACGTTTGGCGAACAATGGCAGGAAGAACGTGAGTGTTCCTCAAACACAGATCGTACACCGTTCTCCCCTCTCCGTTCCATGCAGGCGTCCGGTGAACATACGGGCGAGAATGCTGATTCTCGCTCCTCATCCCGTACGCGGATTAATCAGGGACGTCCGGTCCCAGGATATGGCGGGAAACACCGGACGTAGGTTCTACAGGAGAACACAACAATATGTGGTCTGAGACCGCACCTTAGTGATGCCCCGCAATGATCACGCGGCCAGGGAACGGACCCCCGTGGTTAGCGGTCTAGGGTAGGGGGCCCATATCGTTAACAGGCGGCATGGCTTTGACGCCGTGCGTACCCAAGGTGCTTTGGCACTGGCCGCAGGAATGGTTCGGGCAGCTCAGACCCGGATCCATTGATAGCTTTGAATAGCTCTCCAAACAGCTCATGGCGCAATTCGTCTCCAGCTCCACGCTGAAGAGGCACTTCAGCTGGCTGATGAACGTCCGCCAAAGGAAGGAGGAAACCCTCTCTGCCTTCCTCATACGGTGGAGGGATGAAACCCTGAAGGTCGAGGGCCTCACGGAGGAAACCCTCTCTCCTCTTCACCAGCGCACTTGTAACCGAAGATCTTTACCTAAACTTGAAGAGGAACCCCGAAGACAATTATGCCGAGGTGCTAGCTAGGGCACAGAGATATGCGGCAGTCAAAGAAGAGATCATCCAGAGGGATGGGGTGGCCGCCCCTACGGCCCGGAAGGCAGTGTATTATCTGAGGTAGATGCCGGCAAAAGCCCCGGCAATGAAAAAAATGAAGAGGAGCGGTGGCTACGCCCCTTGGGGAACCCAAGGTCCTCCATCCGACGGCCGGCCGGAGTTTACCGGACTTATCCCCTTGGCAGCCACGGTGAACCAAATCTTTGAGGCCATTAAAGATGAAGGGATGCTCGAGGAGCCGCCCGCCGCCAGAGGCCCGATGGGAAAGAACCTCAACGCCTACTACGAATACCATCACATGGAAGGGCACAACACGCCTCACTGCAACGGCCTGAGGATGGCCATTGAAGGACTTATTCGGAGGGGCTACCTCGGAGAGTTGACAAGATGACCGACCCCTCAGAACCGAATTCAGCCGAACCATGAACCATTCACGTGGCGCAGGGACGGTCGTCTGAATGCATAGGTCCTAGACGCCGACTATCACCAAGCCGATAAACGCCCAGAGGGATTCCTCGGGCAGAACGGCCGCAAGAAGAAACTGGAGATCAAGTGACCATCGAGATACAGGACATACGCCCATCGGACGTCCGTCCCCCACAACATGGACAGATATGTTGCTGGCATCTGAAGCGTATAGGACGTGAATAAGTCCTATCAACGACACCATCTTGCTAAATTCCTGCCTCCCTAAAAAAAGAAGACATAACTCCCAAAGTCAGGGAATCCCAAGGAGGAAAAACCATTCTCCATCCAAGAACACTAACTAGTGCAGAAAAGCTGCCGGTGCGGTGGGAAGGTGGACGAACGTCCCCAAGAGGACAAACTTGTTCTCCATCCAAGAACACTAACCAGTGCAGTAAAGCTGACGGTGCGGTGGGAAGGTGGATGAACGTACCCAAGAGGACAAACTTGTTCTCCATCCAAGAACACTAACCAGTGCTGTAAAGTTGTCGGTGCAGTGGGAAGGTGGACGAACGTCCCCAAGAGGACAAACTTGTTCTCCATCCAAGGACACTAACTAGTGCAGTAAAGCTGCCGGTGCGGTGGGAAGGTGGACGAACGTCCCCAAGAGGACAAACTTGTTCTCCATCCAAGAACACCAATCAGTGCCTTGAGCTTTGAGATGCTACCATCTGGATTATACTTCATCCTGTAGACCCATTTCAGTCCTATCACATTCTTTTCACTTGGCAGATCCACAAGTTCCCATGTATCATTCCTCTGAATGGAATTGATTTCTTCTTTCATGGCTTGTTGCCATTCATCATAGGT